TGACACCTTTCACGAGTATAAGACCAGTGTACTCATCGGTAGCTTCGCCGATACAATTCTAGATTGATCACAACCCGATGAGGAAAACATCATTACGCAATAAAAATGGCAACGTCTGGAGTTTCATTAGAAGACACCATCGAAAGCAATCATTTTTAGAATCTAAAAAAAAAAACAAAGCATCGATTTTATTCATACGTTCATAGTCAGCGAACAAATTCATATTAGAGCCCATAATATAGAGGAAATTCCGCTACCTCCATTTTAATATTCTGTCATGCTATACTTGCATAGCTTTTTAATAATCCAGTTCACAGAATAGGATCTTGCATATTCAGACATAGGGCTAAAATTGAGACAAACAGAATAAAGGCCAACGAGTGCAGTCATAAGCTATTTTACGTAACCAGCGAATACCATATCATTAATTACCTAATTAGTAAGCCGCTAGTGTAAAGAGACGGGTTCAGCGTTCAATTCAGCTAACCAACTATTGTAACTACGTACTTATGAATACGTAACAATATATTATGGTCCAATCTGAAGCGGTATTGATATATGAATGGGTGCGTATATTCATTGAATCACACCGTCTGCTAGAAATAAATGGAACGTTCAGTTTATGCAGCGAGCTCGGAGTTCGCGATCGAAAAAAGAACTTCAAACTTCTCAAAAATCGTGCGTCGACAAATTTAGATATCCGATTCACTAATACTCATTGTATTTAACACCAATCGCCGTCTGAACCTTAGGCACGACGAAGCGTAGCATTGTAGAGTCATCTTTAGTTAAATGGCCTACCTTATAATAATGTTGATACAAAGAAAAAAACAAAATGGTTTATGTTGTGTTCAAAGCGGCTATTGCTAGGCCGCTGATAGACGTTTCCTAATGGCTTCTAATTTTTCGAAGCGTCGCTTTGTTCCGGACAGGCCGCAAGCCTCACCAGAACAGAAGACAGCTTGCTGGCGCTGCTCACCGCCATCTGTAACTTTAATGGAACAAATGATTTTTGAATGTATCCCAGTGAACTTTTTTTTTTAGATATGCTTGAAAATAGGGGTTTGGACTACAGATATAATTGCCTCTCTCATACGGATTCGAATCCGTACTACCGCCGTGTCTCATTGGTCAGTAGGCAAACGCGTGACGACTGTTGTATTGCAGAAAGAAGTACAACTTCGAAAATGGTGCGGCAGCGCCCTCAGCGGCGTTAAAAGCCTTTAAACATAATATAGGATTTTATGGAATAGAATTCTGCTAGAGAAAATTTAATATCCGTTATCGCTTGCAGATCAAATGTTCTCATAATTTTTTCTCTAAGCTTATGGACTTAGACGTCAATAAACTTTTGACAAAGTCATGCGTTTAAGATATATTCATCAAGTCACTCTGCACAGAGTAACTGAATAGAGGACGATATATTAGCAATGGTACATTTTTTGGCATTCTACACAATGGCACCTTTCTTGCTCAAGCCGATGTGGGCAATGTTGTAGGGTATCGCTGCTAATATTGAACTAGAGCTAATGTAGAGTGCTCAACTTTACGATTCACCTTTTTCGAGACATTGACAGCACAGAACTTCGGTAATTATGCCAATAATTCTACATCTGTATTCACATAATAACAAGACCGTGAAATTCGGAGGATGGTAGTGAGGTTTCTTTTAAAAATTTGACTCTAATTCCTTTTTTTGTGCTTTCCTTTATTTCGAACTGCGGCCAGAATGCGCAAAAAGTCATTGATTGCTACGATGGCATTTTATCTGCGCCAATCTGAATTTTGTAAAATGAAATTATATCAAATCTCAAAGTGAGAAATGGCACTAAAAGGCAGCTGTTTGGCACATTTTTCGTCAACCTAGGCATAAATGAGCCTAAATATACATACTATCTAGACAATATGTTCTGTATGAGGTCTTTACAACAGGCATAAACGCCGAATTTTGCTGCTAAAAGTGTACAACTATAAATAAATAAAATAGTTATTTTCCTACGTTTTTTGATTGTGTCAATCGCAAGACCCTGCTGTGTCTCCAAAAGGTCTGGCTTTTTTGTTCAACAAACAGGAGAGAGAAATCGCGCGCGTGTGAGTCATTCAAACTGAGTAACTAATTATCTCGTGTCGATATCTGATCGATTGGGGAGTTTGACCCCAGTCAGTCCGGTTGATTCACTCGAGGTACAGCAGAGGCTAATGAGTGGAATAATGCGCTGATGATAACGAAGTCCCCCAGCTAGATTAGATGCTGAGAGCCGACGAGAAAGGAGGATTGAAAGGCCTGCTCTGTTCAGTGACATGACTAGTTAGCAAACATGAGCTGCGGACTTAGTCTTCATTGTGGTGTAGTTGGCATGAAGACAATAGAAGACTACCTACAGGTAGCCTTTAATGACAGTCATGTGGAGTTTAGTACCAAGTGGCCGCATCAAGATGCTCGAGAAAAAGAGGATCGATAGAACCTTGGCACAGTTTGCAAGGACGGCAACTGCCATTCACTTATGGCTTGAGCTAGCCTATAAGACGCTATCGAAGGAAGTGAACCGATACTCATACATTGAAATGAATGAGCTTCTACACACATTTTCAGAGCTCGAAGAATCGATGCAAAAAATTAGCGAAGGTTTTAAAAAACTAGAGAAGCTGGATTCGAAAATTACAGCGTGCAATGTCAATAGAAATCCGTATACGGTCCTAGAAACAGTTTGGCTTCGAAAACTGTGGAATACATTTATTGTTGAATTCGAGCAACGGAAAAGTGAAGTGGACAAAGATACTAAATTAATACAAGAAAATGCCAGCCGTTCGGGTTTATTTAAGCGCCGCAAATAAGGCCATCGACGTAATCTCTATCATTGTACTTACATATAGTGGATATGCTATAATTAGCAGTTTACCATATTCGTTTTTAAGAACCTTTTGGCCCCTATAAACGAGAAATCGCCACCTTTGATAAATCAGTGTTACAGAATTGTTACTTAGTTTATTCCAGCGTTATCGCTGGACGGCAACAGTCATCATCTGTGGCTGATGCCGAGTAGTGCCCCAGCAAGTTCCTGTACATTCCTGCCATTTGCCCAGTCGAAATCTATCGATTGTCAGGCCCCGTACTGCCGTGTAATGTTTTCGTCGTGACCTAGTTTACCTGATAATATACCCGCACCTCAGTATCATATAACATGTCCCGCTCGGTCGAGTCCAGAAGCGTTTAGAAACAGTTTCTTTCAGACTTCGACGATGAACTGCTAGAGGCTAGTAACGCCAACTTTAGGCAGAGGCATACGAATCATGAAAACATTCCGTTATTGTACCTTGAACGTTCGTGCTATGCATTTTTAACTGCATTCAATCGTCTGCAATTTCTGTTATAATATTTTGTTTAATAAATAATGATTTAAGTGTAATGCTCCTTTTTTGTTACTAGTGTTAGTGTTTTTAAGTTCACAAGCGAATATCTCGAAAGGCATCTATCCTGCGTCAACTTCAGGTATAATCCCTTTGCATATGATTTATCGTGTTTTGATAATTACCATATGCACAAATAAAGAACCTATATTATAAAGCACTGGGGAGTCGCATTTCCGTTTGTGTAAGCACGCCGGATAGAAAAAATACTATTCATATGTAATGTATGAATATAGTTCTTACTTATAATAACAATATAATAATTAACGGTATCGTTACAAATTGCATGTGGACAGTAATGTATTGATTTAAAATCAGGCTATTTCCTATCATCTTTAAAAGAAATTATTTTGTAACGCTTTGTTTTATTGGCCACCATGAGTCACAAACTTGAGATCTTCATAAGAAATGGAGACAAACATTTAGGTATGTAATTAAACATTGGTATATAGGAATATGAAACTGTTTACTATAGATGAACTAAAGCTTGCTCACGCTTGATAAGATTATTGTTCACTATATACTATACTTCTTAAAATATCCTTAACACGGCGTAATTTACGCAAACAAACTTTACTTGCCTTTTAAATGGTTTATATATGTTTATATACGTATACGTATGTAGTGCCATCTAATCTGGTCTAAATAATAGCTGCGATACTTAATTGTCACCCACTGTCTGGGATAGGGGAATAAGACGTCTTGTTGTTCAGCGTTTGTGTTGTTGGCCTGTATCAACTCAGCTTTAAACTTTTGGATTGTCAAATATAACCTTTGCTGCTGAAGTTACTGGACTAAGGTCTAAAACTTAAAAAAAAAACCTATATCTATTCTTGCTGTTGTCGTGTTTGTATATAATAGACTTCAGGGCCAGTTTCGCTTTTCAGGCACCACGCTTTCGAATCTTATAGCTAACAATTGTCTTTTAATAAGAAACAATAGTTCGTGTCTTACGGCAAACAGGGGCATTATAAAATATCGGCATGGTTTATCACTTTGTTCTTAAAATTTCTTAGGCCGGGAAGATTTATAGTATACTTTCATGTATACGAACGAACGTCCGAAACTGAGACTAAGCATTACTTCAGAACCTTACCTAAAAGAAGCTTACATTAGGCCTATGCCTTCGCTGCCAATATATGCTGAAGATTCCAATAGTGCATTGAATACAGGTTAATTCAAACCATGTCGCCCGATTTTAACGCATAAATCTATACCCGTTAAACGGCGAGAAAAAAATCGATATTAGAATCTTGTTTGGTCTGTGTAAAAAGTTGTAACTTTGCTTCAGTTGCTCTCAGTAGCCACACAAGTTTGAACCACAACAGGTGCGCGAAGCTATGAGGTAAAACGTGTGTATCTGGGCTACAATCCCTTCTCAGTTGCATACAGCAAGCTAGGAACGCTCACGGAAAAACCGTCCCTCGATCTAAATGCGGCTATATGATTGCGCCGTCTGAATGTTTATGACGAAAATCGGACCGTGAACTAACCCAAACTGTCTAATAAAACGAGGAATATGGTAGCTAATAACTAAATTACATTTACAATAAAATAGCGATTTTATGTTACATTGCTTTATTTATTTAAGTAGCTTGCCATCAAATATATACACTAGGCAAGCAATGGTATGTACAAAACTCTTACACGCCTTCTTTACGAGAACATGTCATTCTGACTATTGCTCATCTTGCAGTGGGATTGGACTTTTTTTCCAGTTCTCGTAGCGTCCCAGCGATTCGGTCTTTCGCAAGTTTTTGCTGAACGGCGTCTAGATTTTGCGTTTTTACTTTCATGGTATTGATAAGTTTGTCCACAGGGCCTGGGTCACCATTGGTATTATCAGGAGAATCCCAACACTGCTGTTTCTTCGGCTGGCGAGCCAGATCGTCCATAGCTTTCCTTTTGGAGCCTTGTAAGTACGATCTCAGGCTGTTTACTGGGACGCAAGCAACAGGAATAGCTGAAACAGGCTTAAAGGGAACCGGGCCTAACGCCAGTTCCTCACAGTAGTTTGGAAGAAGCGTATCGTGAAGCATATAGTAGAATTTCCAAGTGGGTTAATACACTTTGTTTGACTGTAAGTGTTCGAGAGTTTTGTTAAGAATTTGCTTGTACCGATCTCGGACGCTAATCCACTTTTTCTTCGCTTCGGAACCAATCTCACGCCATCGTGCAACTTTCGTGTTTGTATCTCGGTAGTCCTCATGATATCTGCTAAACAAAAAAGAAGTTTCTTTAACTAAGGAAACTGACTCGTCGATCCGGAAGTTACCAGCGCAATGTCTACCATGCTCCGAAGACTGCATGCCGATCTGGCAATAACTGCTCGCATCCTCGTTGATCGTCATATCGATAGGTTCACAAATATCCATCGCAGCAGTTAACTTTTGCTAGCGATATTAGTTACGCGATCTAATACATACGCAACGTAAGTCAATATGATTGCTCTACAATCGATGCACTGCGAAATGATAGTTGGATGGCTGCAAAGTTCGCTTGGCGGTTTCCGTCGAATGACCTCGGTTTCTGGACAAACTGCCCGTGCTACGACTATCAGAACCACAAACTCACTTAATATATGAGAAATCAACTCTAGCTCGAGCTAAGGCCCACCCTCTCCGCAATTGTGCCTTCTCTCGTTGCCAGAGAGAAGCGTTCTTCCGAGTTGGTTTACTGCTGTGTCACAACCTGGCTACGCGGGATTAAGATCCGACTCAGTAAGAACTCTACTACTACGACCACTACTACTACTACCACAATAGCGAATAAAGTTTTCGAATGGTAAATTCCTTTCATTTTGCCTGCCTGTGATTCTAAAGATGTTCGCCATAGTTTAATAAAAACTACGACATATTGTAAGCAATGAAAAAGACCTGTTACGGTCTGTTAGGTTCAGGGGTAGAAATCAATTAATGCATAGTGAACCGCTGTAACTACACTTCGTTAAAATTGCCGCATGAGGAAACCGAGTCTGGAATATACCAATTGCGACTGGCTGAAATAATTAGCCGACCAGGCCCTATCTACTCACTTAACAAAATAGTAAAATCTTCTCAGAGTAAATAAAAGCCCAAGTAATCCTGTTATACTGTAATGGCAATATCATGCAAGTTCTACGTTGAGCAACTGACCAAAACGCCAGCAGCAACGGGCATATTAATAAATAGTTATGATTATTAGGTAATAGGCTGATACGAACCACTAGGACTAGCGAAATTAACTTACTCCAAAACAATAATAATTAGTCGATATGGGAACCAGACGAGACCTAGTGAGCAAATGGTTGTCACATATGCAGTGCGATACCGACAGTTCTTCCTGGTTTAAATCACTCCGTTTACGATTATAAAATAGGGTCGAACTGCTATAAGGAAGTAAATTTCGAATATATTTTTTCATAAAACAACACAGTCCATGTTAGTCTCTGTATGGCTTAAACCAACGAACGTAACTAGGATACGTTCAGAGATTTCTAACTTGACAGTGATTTACGCCTAGTCTACGCATATCTTTTGGGTAAACTAGGCCATTTATACGAGAATCGGCTAAATTACGAGTCAAGTATTTGATGTTACGGGACTGCACCTTTATATACCCGGCGCGTTTGCGAAACAAAAAACATAGTCTTTAATTTCAATGATTCACAATACTCTTTTGCTAATTGTTAACAAAATCTTTACAGAACACCAATACCACACATGGATGCAATAATTAATTCTCCATTACCATTGGCTTATCTCGCACTGCATGAAACGTCACAGCAGATGGGGCAACGTGTTAACGATGGCTTCTGTTGGTACCCATAAGCCTTATAAGTACTTTAGTTTTTTTGGACCCTGCCGCGTGTGACGCTTCTGCGAATCACTAGTTGGCCGATATTTATATATGCGGTCGTGCTTTGATAATTTCATCTGAGCTGTATACTAAATAGTCGTCGAGAATCTTTTATACGTGCAGATAAAATAGACAGTTTCGGACCGCGTATGCTGCGGAAACAATTGCCTCATCTTTGGTTTCTTAGTGCTTTCCGTAGGTAACTTCTATCTTTCATATTGAAACGTTGTGTTATAACTAAAACAACATCATTTAGTTTGCGTCAGAAAGCGAACGTTTCTAGTTTTTTTTTTTGTCGGCGTCGAATGAAAAACGATTTTATGTTATAGGGTATTAAAAGATCTCGACAGAAAAAGAAGAAATCGTACGCGCAGGGCGCCCATATGTGCACCTGTTGCGCCGTCGGCGGTCCTGGGTCGACTAGCAGTTGTCAGGTTTTTTCACGCGCCTTAAGGATTTGCTCGACGTCAGCGACGCAGTCGACTCCATCTTCGTCCTTAAGGGTGGGGTCTGCTCCACTCTTCATCAACAAAGCAACAACTTCGGAATGACTGCAATAGGATGCTGAAGGATAGATGTAACTATCAGGTATCATCCGAGAGTGACAGCAAAGGCATTTTTTGCTGAGATTTTTCTCCATCACAAGATTTTAACGTGTAATACCCGACATACACCTTTGTCACAAAACAAGTGGAAGTGCTTTCGTCTTATATTCATCACAGGGGCTCCTATGAGCGTATCGATAACGAATATTAGCTTTTTAGACGTTGGTTCGCATCGTCAACACGATATGTTGTGATATATGTCGTTTTGACGATGTGATAGAGCAGATGCCAATTGTACTCTTCTTCTTTAAAAAAAAAAGGAAGTTCTTATTCCTTTAGAATGGAGTCTGTCTAGTATAGGCATTTAGCCGAAATGGACTATCTGGTTTTTTTTCGGTCACTCAAGTTTGTCACTCGCCTAAAATAAAGCATTACCTTAGAAGTATAAATATAGCAACAATTGGCTCACTCACCGTAATGCAGTGGTGTCTGCTGAGCCGGATCCGTGACGTTGATTCGATCGGGAAACCTTTTGAGAAGTGCCTCTACTAATGCTAGATGCCCTCTGTCGCAAGCCCAATGCAAAGGTGTAAGACCGTCTTCGTCGACGGGCAAACTGTCGGTATCTAACAATTTTTCAACATACTCCACATTGCCTTCCTTTGCCTATACGCAATAAATAGAAGAAATATTTATAACACTAGCTTTTAATTAATAAAGAAAAATTACAGATATGTTAGTAACTAGCCCGGGGTTTGTCCCAGTTTGGCTGGCGGTCCCCTATTGCCCTAACGAGTGTAGGAGCGTAGGTTGTGGAATTAGGCAAGAAGAAATAAATTAGGAAAAAAAGTAGATAATTTTGTAGCTCAGTTTCCGCTGGTGTGATATTGTAGAAGGTAGCCTGCAGCTATACGAATGGATTTTCTGCGGATACAAAGGGTTGTACCAAGTTGAGTGAAAAGCAATGGTACACTCGCACGGCCGCTAACAGCGCAGAACAGCGGCAATGTTTGGCTCAGGTTCTACTGCAGTGGACCAAACACCAAAAAAAAACAGGCAATTTTAAGCTAATCTATATGTATAAACATGACTGGTTGTATATAAGGTGCGCTAAAACTAAGCGTGGCGTTAATCTTACGTATCTTCTAATAAAGTATCCTAGAAAACTGTTGATCGGACTTCATCAAAAGAGGGTCATCGATATCGTACAATGTAGCTTTGATTAGCTACATAAAAACGAAATTTGAAAAAGTATGTTATTTATGACACACGACGAAACATAAAGCAACCTATCATGTTATATATTTACTAAGCTTTACTTGATAATAATAATATAGATAGATCGCTCTGTATACATACGCAGCTTCTAAAAGCAAACTTCTAAAAGATACATTGAAACTGCGATCTTGGCAGAAAGCCACGTTCTTATAATAATAACTTAAAATAGCTTCAGTTGTACAACACGTTTGAATAGACCATGAATTAATCTAATGCAATGCACTTCCTACAATTGATAATACGCTTACTTTGGGCTTTTTGATTTGACAGGACTACCCGATAAGACAATAATCATGCCGAAATAACATGTTAATTTTGTCTAGATCTATAAAGTTAAAGCATAAAGTCTATACTGTATAGGCACAATACTTGTATCGGGTAGCTCAGTTTTTTATTTAACAAATAACTTAACCCGTGCTTGTATGAAGATACTTCGAGTAATATGGGGTTACTGCTAAAAAAAACTACCGCTTTGTAACAATGTAACAGAAACAAAACGGACCCAGTCAAAGACCGTTTTCGATCTATCCTCGATGCACGTTTCCTGGTTTAGGGGTGTACTAACGGAAATTCCAAAGCCGCCGCCAATTTCTTTGCTTCTGCTTGCTTCGGCCCCATATTTGGTTTCCTGAAATAGTTAGGTAGTAAATAAAAATGATGCACATAGCTTTAGTTAGCTTACTAGTCTGTTGGCTTTATTTTTTCTTCTATATAAGCATGTGTTTAAGATTATGGTTCAAGGAGTCCGCAGTAGATTCGATTTAAAGTACCAAGTCAACCCTTTTTGCTGCTGGACCTAAACCTACCTTTGTCAGCCTATACCCCCGCCTTTTTGCCCGCACCATATAACGAATTGCTAGAATTACAAGAGAGGAAAGTATTTGTATTCATGCTTGAGTTTAGCGTCAACTAGTACGATAAGACGGGATCTAGGTAGGCAATGAAGTGGGGCTGGCAACTCTAGGAATAGTGAGCCTGCCGGAAACAAAATCTCTCGTAATTCATAGAACGATTACGTAGCTTTTCCACAATGTATTCAATAATAACAATCTAGTGCGCCGGTTTTTTTTCAAACATAGTCGTACCAGAAAACTTGCTTTATTTACGAACTTTAAACAGTGCAAGACGGGTAGCGAACTAAACAGTGTCTTTTTCTGCGGGTTTTTCCAGTGTCTTTCTCCCGACCTAACGCATCCTTTCGACAGATGACAACTAATGTGGTTCCTCTGCATTTCCCAAAATAAATTAAGCATAAGGCTCTTTAGCTAGTTCAACAAGCTTTACGAGTCGATACTTTCTTACGCAACTTTCTGATAAAATGGAAAGTGTTAGTAAATTTTTTTATTTTCTTCAAATACACACACCCATATACACCACTGTGTTTTTAATCGGATAATTGATACAACAAATACAATAACACTGACACAGGAAATGTATATATATATATATATATATATATATATATATATATATATCCCATTGATAATCTCTCAATCCTTAAATTTCCTGCACTGGTTCAATGTATCACTTTAATATGAAAATCAGCCGGACAAGCTTAGGCCATACGTTCTGCATTATCGAATCCGTATTGTTTAATCGGCTATTTATGAAAGAAGCACATTACATACGGTACGTGATATGTTGAGCTCCAGTCAAGCAACGCCAAAGAATGAACGCTTGTTTTAGCCGGATAGTAAAATTTAACCTGAAGTTTTATATAGCTTTTCTCCGGAATCGTCACCGCGGTGACGACGTAAATGGGGCGGCAGGGGAAATGAGAGTGCTACTAAGTCTGCTGGCTTAGCATGGATCAGAATTAGGTTTCACTAGCCAAGGACATTGGCTCCGTCGATGAATACATTGTGCCGCCGAGCTACAAAGGTCATTTCAGGTATAAGCAGGTTCTGATTCATTCCGGTCGCTAGGAAATCTTGATAAAAAGTCCTGAGTCACCATTTCGGAAAGGCCAGCTTTCTAAATAAATAGTAGAGAAAAATTTTCCATCCTAACTACTACTGTTTTTTCAGCACCTTTTTCCTATGAATACACACGAATTCAGGTTGCCATGCATCTTCCTGTCAATGCCACTCTCCGCACTCTATGACAGACTCTAGCCGTACTTTTTTGGCATTATTAATGTACATATATCTCAAATTACCGATTTATGTAAAATGAATCGCAATTTAATTATTGTTGTAAACTTTGTAAGCGGTAACCATGTCGAGCATTTTCGAGCAATCTAGTATTTTTTCTCTTTCAAAAAAAACAGTGTTTGGAAAATACCACTTTAATTTCGCAACGACGTATTTGGTACCGAAATATCACAATATAATATTCAACGTAAAGGATGTTATGAATATTAACTTCACTAATCGATCACTTCAGGTAACTGTTTACTTGGCTAGAAGTAGAATAGCATAGTGGATGAATTGGCAAAAAAATTCGGTTCATCTGTCGTCACGGGTAGCTTCAATTCACGGGTAACTCAATTTGCTACATATATATAAAAATTTGGGTCAATATATATATATATATATATATATATATACGCCCAAACAAATGCCCTTGGAAGTGTTACGCGTTGAGGCATATACGTGACATAAAATTTGTTTACATTATTACACTGATCTTATATAGCCAGTTATATAACAAGTTCTATTTGCGTACGACAAACTTTGATTGCGCATACGAAGCAATTTGGATGTAGTGCAGAATGACTCTTTCGACAGAAACTCCATAGGTCATTGGTAACTCAATTCTAACACGCGTAGTAGTAGGAGAATGTTTTTATTTTCTTGTTGATTGAACGTATCAATTGGTTCCATGTAAAACGTGAATAGCACAAATAAACAAACTTCCTCGCGATTAACATCCGTGGCATGTACAGGCTTACAGAAGGCTCAGTGGAGCTTTAGGGGACACACCAAAAGATGCCGAATAAGGTGTATAGTGCATGAGGTGTTCTGCTATTTAGGCTTCCAATCTAATCAGAACTGCAGTGGCACTCGTTGTAATATAAAACTGCTCACTCTTATTATATCTGGCGCCCTACATTACCCTACTGATTAGTTTACTAACTAAGTAAATCGACCCAAAATCTGTCGGATACGGCCTGTTAGACGGTTTATCGGTTTGATCGGAGACTTGACATGTGTTTATACTTACTGTTATGTAATGAATTAACATCGCCCATTAGGCAAACTGACACAAAATATTTTCGATAATATATCCTTTTGTTTTCCGGTCGCTATTCTGTACATATGTTCATCATATGTAATTATAGTCTTCTCTAGCCTAGCATTGTGAAGAAGCCTGAGCAGAGTGCAGGCTGCAATTCGCGTGTCGAAAAAGCTATAAAAAACTTGAAAATTTGCTATCAATCTATACGATCTTTTTACTTCTAGAACAGAAAAGCTTTAGTCAAATGCTTTTCATTCTGGTCGTCTCACATGCAAATAAAGGTTTCACAAGATCGAGACGTAGTAATATTGCATTTGTACATTATTAATTACGACCATGATTAAAAAATCACGACCTGAATGTATCGCTGCAGCATCAATAGTTGTGAAAATTATTGCAGCTCAAATTAGGATTGTCCAGTGTTGCTCTTTAGAAATCGTCGCATAATATATTGCGATCTAAAGAGCGGAGTCTACTGAGTTCCTCGTGCGAAGCGTTCTAAGAACTTATTTTCTCTATATATATATATATGTTAGGTCGTGTAATAACCACTATCTTCCTAGCGGAGCAGGCCGGGATTTTTGTTTTGGCATAGAACGATTATGTCGAGAGAACTGCTCGACGAGTCCAAAGAAAGCACCTGTAAACCTCAAATAGCAAAAAACTCGTTCATTCGCCGAGTATGATCATCGAGCGTTTGACTGGCGTAACACATCTTGAACCAATGGCATTTAATCAATCCTCCCTCAAACGGAAAATTTTTTTACGTTCATAATATTTTCAAGACCACACACCGACGAATTCTGTTAGCATATTCAATAGAGCATAGAGGTGAGTATCAGCATCAGTTTAAGCTAATTTTGAAGAAAAATCGATAAATGTTTACAAAAATAGCTTCCAAATTCTAGAAAAATAAGTTCCTCTCTTCGGAGTTAATCTTCATACCTAAAATGCTGTATTTAGCAGTTCAATGAAAACTTTCTACAGATTATTTTTAAATAACTTTACCTCAAGAAAACTTAGTTAGCTAGCTGTATAGAATTTCATTAGAAGGGAAATAATAAGCTTGTGCATGACAAATCTGCTAAAGTCCTTTATTACGATTCAAATGTGTGAGAGCATTGCTACTAAAAGGGCTGTATAGTGGTTACAGGGACAACTCACGGTTTCTACGATAGATTCTGCGCTGGGCCGAATAACAAACAACTTTGAGATAACTTTAGCGGGGTACTGCAAAAAGTGTGAGCATCTATGCTATATTTGGCAAGATATCAAGCATTAAGGTTATTGAGCCCACTGAAGTCATTGACTCCATGGAACACACTACAATTTCCATAGGGCCTTCAGAAAAACTTTAGTTTCAGAGTACTAGATCTGTATTCAGTTGTTCAAACGGCCTAATCTTATGGCAATGGTTGAAAGAGCGAGGAGTCGCTGACTCGAGCCCCACTATGGACATATATAACGGCACATGAGTGATTAATTAACTGAAGTACGTTAACCTTACAGAAAGGTACAAACGACATAATATGGAACTAACCTCACTGAATTCTGGATCTAACTTCTTCACGAGGGCAATGTACTCCTGCATGGCCAAATCCTTGGAAACCTTTCCTAGAGCTTTCCAGGCGTCCCTGTGAGCCAAGCGAGATCGCCAGTATCAGAATTTCTTAAAAATGCACATGTTTGAAATATCTAAACGTCTAAATTGGTGTACAAATGCAACGATACATAACAATCAAGACATCCGTGAACGTATGATAGGACCTGTCATTCGCATCTCTGGGCTGGGCAGACGGCTAGCCACGAAGCGCACGAAAGGTTTTACACACAGGGCAAAGGTCGACTCAGGAAATAAGAATTATTCGAAGTTAACGCGAACAAAAGACACAACAGGGCCTACCCACCATTTTTGTTTGTTTTTAACATCGAACCATCTTGACGGCCGATCCGTAGTACACGGACCTTCCGTAGCTTGCTTGTATCTGGAAAGACAAACAACAGCGGTGCGAAACTGGAACGTTGTTCTATGAATAAGTATCGCACAGGCACACTAGAGATTATCATAAGTAATTTAATGATATTACTGGCTACCTTCTTAAAGCGGTGTTAAAAGAAATTTTCTACTTTTCGACAGTATAATCAGCACTGGATGTGTTACCCCTTCCCAGCAAAGTACCATCAAGCCCATTATTCGTTTTGATAGTATTACGCGTATCGTACCGTAATCCTTTCTAGAACGCCTCCCTGACTAGACTATGGATTTTTTTCGATGATGGTATTTGAGATGACCCCAAACGGATATAAGGGATTTTTAGTGCTTCTTGTCGGCATGTCTTTTTTTTGTATTACAACCAATTATTTCAAAGTTACCAACCCGGATCCTCATAAATTTGTTCTATCGACTAGTTGGAAAAAGTGACAGGCGTCATCGAATTTTGAGAGTTGAAATCCTTTTTCTTCTCTGTCTCTGCAAATCTGGCCATCCGAATCTACACGACTCTGTTTTTAGCCAAGAGCTAAGGCGAAGGACAGGATACTTTGGGGTGGGTTGATGACACTGATGTAATGCATATGTGTCATCTCCCGTCAATTGAACACTTGTGCTGCCTCAACAAAATTTTAGGACATCCCATATCGTATATGGGAAAACTTTTAATTTGCCTCGCTGAATGCACATACCTTGCATATAGGTAAAGAGCATTAAAGGAATCGAGTTTGGCAGCAAATCCCACAACACGACGAGAGGCTTCGTTGAACTGTATTTCCAATTCAGAAATGGCAATGTCATCGTCTTGCATCTGTAAAATTATATAATCGCTGTTACATAAAACAAGTGTTATTTTTAACCGGAGCTTATTTAGCATTAACTAAGTATAAAGTAAATATTTTCCAGGTATTACATTTGTTTTAATTTTTGTTTCGTTATAAATTGAGTCATTTGCCTAAACCATTGACTGGCCTATTTGGCATGTTGAAGCTGATTCTACATGTTAAGACGAGAATTTTGTCGTGTGTACGACCAATCTCATGCACAACAAGAGGTCGACATCGACTACGCGATTGTTCTTATGGTATTTGGCCAATAAAGTGAAAAATTATGTTGTTAACAGGTGTAGCTTTCAATAAATAAATAGAATAAAAAAAATTTTGATTTTGTCTTTTCAGGCTACAGGGTAGATTACAACTATCCGTATCTCTACTGATTTATTTTTCTAAGCTGCTCCGCCTGTCCTTTTTCTACGAAATCTTTTAGATACATATAAAAATATGAACAGTATATGCTACACACCGGTTTTAAAATGGCAATTTACTGGAAATATGATAAGACTATGTCGTGATTATTTTTCCCAAACGAGTTAAGTTTCCAATAACTGAATACCTCTTTTAAAGCAACCCTCCTGAGTTTGTACACAATGAATCTATGGTAGCGCTATTTTCAGCCTGGAAAAATTGTCTTTGTTGCTCCATGGGGCCTCAAGGCCCTACGGAAAGGTTTTGGTGTACTCTGTCATTCCCTGTACTTTCCTTACTTCCTGTACATTCCTTGTGCTTAGCTAGCTATGTTCTCAAAGAGGTCAGTTTGATAGAACCATAGACCATATAGCACCGTTGTTTCTTGGACATTGTTACAAACAAGGATGGATCGAAAACAGTGGCTTCCCTTTAGCCCAATGTGTTATAGGAATATAGAAAAAATATTCTTTCTTAACCGCTTTGAATGCCTACCTGAGCAGTTCTTACGATTCTTAAGCGAAACCAATTTCGTCTCAGAGTAAACAAAATATTTCATATATATATATATACACCCGTCGTAATGTTGGCTAATGAACAGCACCAGCCGGTACACAATTAGCTAAGTTCGGGTTCGTTCTCTCTGCCTGTAGTATGGAATAAGCGATAGAGCTGGGGACTTGGAAGCAGAATGTTTGCAACTCTGATCCGGTTGGTGACATGCAAATGGATGCAGCCTTATACTGACGAAGTACTTAACAAAGAAAATTATTGCTGTAATTTGAATTTTAAGACTTATATTGATGTCGACTTGAATGTCATGATCAGTTTTGAATATTTCTAGCAATGCACATATTAGAAAAAGCCGATCGTTGTCTAAAACTCGTTATGAAATTAATCGGTTGACTTATTTCTCTTCTTTTTTAGCAAATAACCGTCAAATCAAAGCTGTCACATTTTCCGTCCGCAATACTTTGCGCAACGCCTGGCAGTTTGAAAATATGTATAGACTAAATATTTCAGGGTAGTTCTTACCTTTTCGCTTTGTGCCAATTCACACGTAAATCTAAACACACCTGACACTGCTGTTGTACAAAATATATTTATTAATTATTATATTAAAGAGAAAAAGGAGAAACGATTTAAATTGGAATATTCAACATACTACAATGTGAATGGCCAAAACTTTTCCGCGCCTCCGAACGTTAACACCGAGTTCCGTCAAATAGTGTCTGGGTTAAGCACTGGAATAAGGATTAATAACTTTAACTATAAGTTAAAGCTGGCGTTGCATTTCGAAGTAGAACATGCATGTGAAAATCTTTAAATGAATTCGTATATGACAGAGACTCTCCGATTAGTGATTTTTTTTGCGGCCGAGCACTGAACGACAATATTTATTGAGATCCGGAATTTAATGATGAATTGTAAACAAACAGTTAAATCACCTGTGCTCATCTGTCAGCTGTGAATTTAACTGTAAACTTGTCCAGAAATGAGGTTACATAGAGCTTTTCAATAGATGTTTGAACGCTAAATATGAGTGAAACCTAAAACACGAGCAACTGTTAATATAATTCTAAATAATATTTTCAACAAAGGCTAACTATCAACCCATATAGTTGTGAGCGTATGGGTGCGTAGAAGGTAGACCAGCATCTAAAGGCTAGTTCTATATTTTGGTATCAGTGCTATGTTTAGTCATTTATTTTTCCCTCTTATCGCATTGTAAAGTATGTTGTTCTCATACAATCAATACTTAAATACATGCTACAGATGTAGTGTTTCTGTATAGCAAGGAAAAGCAATTTGGTCTATGCGGCCACTAGCGTCAGTAGACGGACCAATATTTATGATTTATTTTGCAATAGCTCACAAGGAATATCTTGTCATTAGAAATAGGTTTATAGTATTGTTGAACGCAATATTTTAAAACCAATAAACACAAATAAGTGTTTTCTGGAAGATATCATTGCTATTGTATTTGATAGTCGTAAATACAATTTCAGCAACGTGTTGTTCAGCGTTGAGATAAGTTCATAGACGTTCATTAGGATGTCGATGGTCAGCGGGCCAACACGTCCACCGCGCTCGTCGAAAACTGCGCGCGAATCTTCCGCAAGCGGACTTATATCTGTTATTCGTACCCTCTCTTCAAGCCAGGATAATGACGACAGGTGAGCGATTGCTGGTAGTTCTCCCAAAAAAATGTCTTCCCTATTTCACGTCAGAAATTAAAGCCTTTAAACACGTCTTCATACGGTAGTAGCCTTAAGGGACAGACATATATGCCAGTCATGATACAAAACTTCACTCATCCCATTTCTGAAGCACCATGTCGTTTTCAGTGGGAACTAGCGTAATAGAAATTTGTTGCTCAGCACTATGCTGAATATTATCCTGTTTCTTTGAACCCGGGTAGTCCCTTTGCATCGACTGTTTTACAAAGCACCATTTGCTAAGTACTAAACTAATTTTTTTTGTCAGCGCTTCTCCACATGTATGCCTCATTGAAGAACGGGTTCAAACGGTTGTTGCATCAAATAAGTCAAATAATGATAGATTTAATGCTATCGACAATGTCTTTTAATTATATGCAGGGACCGTGAAAAAAGCCGTCTTGAGAAAGAGTTCAAGCGCTCGGATCAACGCTTGGACCTTCTCATCGAAAGCCAAAGGGATGCTCTGACTAAGGCTATGCAAGATTTCAATAAGATATCTTCCAGAATTACTTCTTCTAGAGATCGCATAAAACAGGTACTAATAAGTTAGCCACAATATTGCGAGATATTTTAACTGCAGTATAGATCTTAATTTGTCAAATGTAGACAGTATTCTGTCCAAAATACACAACGCACAAATCGTTATATCATATAGAAAGCTTAGTTGACTTGATTTTTACGATTTCTAGTAGATAAGTGTGATGACAAACGTCATGTCTGAGAAAATTAATTTTTTTCGTCAAGGCTATAAAATGTAGATTACTGATGGTGGCTTATTTCGCGCATTCTGCTAAGGAAGTGGTCAAGGGTGTGTTGAATCAAGTCAGTACGCATATTGTGGTGAGATTTTCAAACAGCGGCAGCTTGGTTGCGTCCTTTCAGAGCACAGGAAAATATGGAATCAAATAGCCAACTTGTGAGTCATGCAATTCAGTTGAGGCCTAAACTTCTTCAGAAGCAAGGGTACGATGGTAGGAGTTATATTAGAATAAATACAGATCTAGCACCAAGGATAGAGGAAGGTGTGAATTTTGTGGATAGTACTGCAGTTGAAACCGAAGCCGTACACTGAGGTGGGAAATACCTTGAAGTAAGGATTGTTCGCTTAGAAAACGTTTTATTACGAACCTGTTACATGTATTCATTTACCACGCAGGTGGGTGGTAGTGAGAAGCGAATAATGGAATTGACTGTTTTATATATTTGTATGGCGTGCATCCAGGTGAAACAAAAATTGCAGACTGCTCAGGTTCTTCTGCAGTGCAAACGCGATGAGCTTCGACGTCTTTGGTTAGAGTCAGTTGAGCATTCGCATGTGCTTCATTTGCTTGAACAGATAGAAGGTCTGAACTCTGTACCACACAAACTCGACAACAACATTTCGCTAGCTAGGTGAGCTCTTTGGTGGCATTCTGTAACGGCCCATCCTAGTTTCATGTGGCTGCATTATTTGATGAATATTACGAACTGTATAATATCCAGTTTTTGAATGCTTATTCATGCCAAATATCTTTGAAGTCCGTTCTACCTCTTATATTCTATACTGTTCAGTGGAGTTTCTGGATAGATCTAATTAGCTTGAGTTTACATAGCCTAATTTCTGTATGTAAACTATATATCATGCTTCACACCTTGTCACAGGTATCTACAAGCTACAAAGGATCTCATGAAGAGTGTAGCACTGCTCGAAGGAGAGCTCAGCGGAGTTGACGCTCTTAGGGAGGTAATGGTAGAGATTTCCACGGAGGAAATCGACATATAGATCATTATATATCAAATCCAGATCTGTATAAGGTCGTAGGCTTCTCAAGCAGTCGTGTCAGTAGACAGGAATAATATGAACACAGTTTGATATGTGTTTCTGTGCGTATTTTCTGATCATTGAGGTTCAATTTTTTTCATCTCTAAAAGTGTTTTTGCAAGTTTGCGGCTTTACATTATGCTTGAGATTTAGCAAAATAAGCTTATCGGTTTATAAAAATCTACAAACAAATTTACATACATTTCATTTGGAGTTGTTTAATCATAGTTGCCTTTATTATTTCGCATAGGTCAAGGATAATCTCCAGCAACAGAAAGAGCAACTACACGAAACGCTTATGACAGAACTACAGCGGCACCTATACGAAGAAGTTTCACGCGACTGCTTGGACGCCTTCCGAAGGAGCGGCAAAATTCCAAATTCGAAGGCAGAGCATGTTGCTACCCATCGCTTGCTGGTTTCGATCGAAGACGCAGAACTTCTCAAGCTTGAGAAGATAGCTGGATCGGAACGACGACTCGATTCTGAACGACAGATTGTCATCCTTGTTAGATGCCTTGTACTATTGGCCAAAATTTCTGAAAGTGTCGAGATGATAAGGTGTGCTGGTTACATTAAATAAATATATTTAGTCCATTATAACGCTTGCCGTGCTGTTGATTGTGATTTCAGTTCTACTGTTCTTATGACTTGAATGCAGTGTGTTGCGTTATTAACTTTGATCTGATCCTTTTTAGAGAACGATGCCAAGGCCACTTATTTCATGCGGTCTCACGAACGACAACTGCCGTTCTGGAAGGTGGAGAAGGACCTGAAAGGTTATTGCAGCTGCTCGAACTTATTTTTGCGCAGTTTCTTATCATAGAACAGAGGTGAGCTCTTTATAAACACGACACTATTATACGGTATATGTGTCCGCTAACCGAAAATTTACACTCGTTTCCTCTAGTCGGTTAAATATTTGGTGACTCGATTTTGTTTGGCATACTTATCATGTATATAGCTTTCTTTTTTCAAGAAGCTTTAACTGAAGTTGTTTAAACACGATCGGTTTCAACAGAGTAGGATTTATATAATCTGGGCCGATCAGTGTGGGGCTCGGCCTCGAAGTCGGGACATTATTATGAGACTACTATCCAATAATTCTCAATTCGACTCTTATACGTAATTTCAACAATCCGTATCCTCAATGGAGAATACTATAAACTCTTTAAAGGTATCTGTTAAGGCCACCAAGTTATTGGATCGGTGTTATTTCGTTTGGATTTATCACTGCGCCGGATGAACCATTTTCCAAGCGTCTATCTCTATCCAACAAGCCTACTATGTGCACTGCTAGTTTCTCTATACACTAGTAAGTCAATGATTGGCCTTTGTGTGATTTGTAGGCATCAGCTGGTCCTTTCACATCTTTCTCCTCACGTTGTTTCCGAGTATGATGAAGAAGGCAATCCGATACCTCTTCTCTACTCGATGGAAGACATTTCGTCGAAGATGCAGCACGTTCTCACTACACTACTCAACACGTATCTAGGAGCAACGGGTGGCCGACAAGAAGTGCATGGTGGTTTTGGCACGTCTGCGGGGGATAATATGGACGTGAACCTTTTTTTTTTGCGCAAAAGGCCCTTTGTGACAACAGTTAATCCTACTAAGCAGCGTAAATTTACTTTGTTCAAATTTGACAACTCGCAGCTGGCCATTTCGAAGAGCAGCTATCTCCAGGAACAACAGCAGCAAGGTAGCAACGGAGTTGTCATAGAGAAATGTGAGTCTATGTCCATGTTTTACAAGTATATATTATTTACAACATCAAGCACATTGATGTAGCTATTTTTGTAAATAACAAATAAGTGCCAAACATAACCGATCATTGAGTCTCTATGCTATAAAATCATGAGGTCACCGAGTCTCTAATCAGCTTTAGATTTTTAGCCACAAAAAGGCCGCATTGACGTAATTACTGTAGAATGGAAAGAAGAAAGGAAAAACTTAGCCCTATGGCTTACAGATGAACTTTAGTTGATTTGGGCCGGCAATAATTTTAGCTGTTATCTTGTAATATTGATAAATGCCAACACAGCATTATGTGGCAAATAGTGGAGATTTTGCAACAATTCATTGTGTTTTACAAAGCGAGGCAAATTTGTCTACTACCGGTAGCGAATAAAATTATGAAGTGTCCACATAAAAGAGAACGAGGTTAACCTGTGTTACTGCAGCTACGGATCAAGGAGCCGCCCTCGGGCCGACCCCATCACCGTCTGCTCCTGGCGGGACTGCGGGAGGAACCGGTTTGTGGGAACAGGTCGTGTGTAAACCGTCGTTCAAGAATATCAGTTATATGTACAGGCCAATGTTGCGTTTTGTCGAAAGACTCGATGACGCTGAACGAAGTCCACTGCAGATCGTTCTCACGGCGGCTGTCAAGGAGTTTCTCGCCATGGTCAACGATGAACTGCAGGTTCGGTAACTTATCATGTTCTTGCAAAAAGTTGGCAATTGCTTTTCTTAATCGTAAAGATCACAGTTAAACTTTCAATCCAAGTGTAGTGATTTGAAGTCCATTTTGAAGCTCCCCTTGTTAACGATGTTACCCCGAACTATTGCACGTATTTGTTGAAATATAAGTGGAGCTGATACTTATCCTTAAATACATCTCATGTGTGGCTGTTTTTCGCAGTTCACATTTAATTCAATTACTGATTATTTAGTACTGCTTCAGGCTCCTGTTGAGGCAGGTGCTACTAGCCTTTCAGAAGCTTTAGATGGTAGTAAAACAATGGTAATCTTGTCTTTAAACCTCGTCAAGGTTGCTATTCTAATGAGGGCATAGGTATGGATTTCGACGACAATTTGCAAGAGACTGTGAGTGCAACTATCATACAATTTTCATATCTTGCAGACCGTGGTGGAGCAGTCAGCGAAATCATTGGAGGAATTCCGTGTGGTAACCGATGCAGAAGTTTTAAAGAGTCTAAAAACGACTCGACCAGTTCTCCAGAGCTGTGTAGCCATCGATGGTATTCTGCAGGTAATGTGTTTGTCTATAACATATTCTAATATACTAGTCAGTTCCTTCTAACTTTACATAACAAAATGTATCCTGATCGTATATTTTGTCACTTATTAAAAATTACCGTTGAATTCACTTCAAAATCTATGGTTTATACCTAATTAACGTTTGACTAAGCCGTATGGAACCATCTAAAATATCATTTACATACAGGTGATTGTGGAGAACACGTGAACTGAAGATATTTTTGTTCCTTGCAGGTTCTTAAAGAGCATGCCAATGATCTTCCTCAGTTCGCTTCCGAGTTCGTTGAAAAAGGTAAGTCTGCATAGATGTTTAGGTCAAATTTTGCTTCTATTCTATTTTATCACCATTGGCTTGTTTTAGAACCAGAATACTGAGTGCGAAAAAGGCCTTAATAAAATACTTTTATTTGTATCTTTCTTGATAATGATTGTGTCGAGATATATCAAGACTTATGCCTATTTTCGCGACTTGATCATCTTCTGTTTACATCACTAGCATGGATGTGACAACTTCTTTGTATGCGCAATTCGTTGCAGCATGTGACGTTATGAGAAGATACAAAGATATCGCCGAGCACACCTATCGTACGATTGTACCGCCACAAGAGGTAAAGTTGAGCTTCATCATGACTATGAAACTTACTAGGTTAACTTAACTTTGGGAGCCATATTTTAAATTTGTCATATATGATCTTACTTCCCCATGTAGTTCACTGTATTGAGTAACTACAATAAACAGTTTTTATTCACTAAAACATGAGCAGCAGTGCGATTTGGTTTGAGCGCGTGTATTACGCTGGATAGAATTCTTTCCTATTATACTAGCGTTTTTTTTATAACCAATCTTTTTAAATAAGCTTTTCGTAAGTTGTAACTCTTAAGAGAGTCAATTCTTAATATAAGTTTTGGAGGAAAAGGCAATTTAGTTCATTCGTATAGTATACAATCGATTAGTTTATAAGGGTCCGTATGGGTGAGTTCGTAATTTAGGGCCTGAAAGTTGAATTTCTTTTTTTTTTTTTGAAAAAGGGTGACGCAGACTGTTTTTTTTTTAATATTTGTTTATTTCGCGCTGGGAACAGGTGCGCCAGACGAACAGCAATCATTGGATATCGGATCCAGACATCTGCCGTTGTTTAATGGGTTTACCCAATTGGATTAACCTCATTGACGATGTCGAACACGAAGAGGTATGAATAAACAATTAAATCTCAAAAATGCAAGGAAGAATCAAAGGATTTAAATTTCTGTGATATTTATTGCAAAAATTGTTAAAATTGAGACTTAGATTAATCAGCTGTTATAATTCTATAGTAATTCTATATTCTGCTTGATCTATGTTTTCTTAATAGCTCGAAGAGAGTCCCGAAGATATCCGTCTTCGCAACCAACAAGAGGTCTCGATCCTTCTTTCGAATTTAGGTCAGAAGAAAGATATACCATCGACGGAGATTTTTAGCAATGTTAACGATCTCAAGATGGTAGCTCACATGCACGAGGGACTTGAATGGCTTAGTATACGCACACAAGGTATATATGAAGTGTGATAATTCTATGCTGATCTTACTTACTCAGCTATGAAATACCTTTTCTTGTAAGAAACTTGTGCTTAATTTTAACCGTTACATGTTGTTAGGACAGACAAAAACCAATCTAGTTTATACATCTAGTATATACAGATCATCCAATGATGTATGGTTAATAAGCTTCTCATTAATAAATGCATGCTGTACACATGCATGATTGCTCACAGAAATGTGTGATGCTCTGAAGTGCGGTAAGGATAATCCAGCCGAAGATAACAATCTATCAGAAGCGTTACGGAAACTAAAGGAATTTGCGACGGATCTACAAGAGAAAGCGAATACCTGCTTGTTGCTTCTACATCTCGAGGTAAACGCCACGAAAACAAATCTGTTACAAAGCTTAGAGTATAATGTACTCGAATCACACTTCAATTTGTTTACAATAGATAGATTAATATGTATAATTGGCATATTTTACTGAAATTATTAACAATTAGAGTTTTTTTTAACAGGCTAGCCTTGTAGCGCAGCTTCGTAACTCGTACGACTATTTGGATATGTGACATTTAGGTCCGTGTGCACTGCTTCTACTATCTATTACCGCTCGTGGCCGAAGGCCATTTCACCACAGCAGTGGGAAGTCTTGGAGGTGGCAGCACGAATTCGCCAGATGTAGCTCATGGCGGCGGTCATGGAACCCAAGATACCGACCGACAGGTTTTGGACCTTGCCGCTGACCTTTCACGGATCGAGGAAGCACTTAGCAATGCTGTTCAACCTCGTAAGCACAAGTATGTAACAGTTCAGAAGTACAAAATAAAACATTACTTGGCCAATAGTTTGCAAACAGCGTTCATGCATACCAAATACATTTTTTAATTGAGTTTCTTTACAATTTTGTAAGCAACGAGTTTTCAATTGGTTTTTCTTAAAACTAATTGGATTCCTTCGATAACTGACGATAGTCACTTACCACCACGTAAGCTTAAATGATAAATCTTCGGGCTAGTCACGTATCAGCGCGTTTGTAGCTTAGGTGCTAAATCGAAACATAGGAGTTTCGTTAAATTGTTTTCCATTTATGAAAAACTTTACGTTACCAATTGCTTTCTAACAATTTTTCATATAAAAACTTTATTTAGGTATGTCTTCGAAGGCCTGGGCCTGGTTATAGCAGTTATCTTAATGAATGCTGTCCCGCAGATTCATCGTATCAATGAACTTGGAGTAAAGCGCATTTGCAGGTGACCTTACTTATATCTTATATTGGTACACTGTATATACCATATATCTGTCAAATAACTTCATCAAAGTAAACATATGTAGGTTGCCAAATTGAGCAAATCGTCTTTCACCGACGTCTCGCAAACATTGTGCCTACACGTTCTAACAGTGTATTATAAGTGTTCATTTAAGAGATCGTTCCTAGAGGCTTGGCTTTAAGGCTTTGCCTAATACGACAGCCTAATAAAAACATGTTAAAGAAAGGCACACCAGTCAGGGTCTTAAATATAATGTGAGCTTATAACCGGTGTATTACAATATATACTTGTTAAGTACTCTTTTTAGACACCAACTTATTCGCACAGTACATTGAATTCACTAGCAATCGTTGTTATCATATAGAGCTCAAATGGCGAAAAAATACTTGATTGTAATTCCCGTCTACTGTCATCTATGGATAACTACCTGTTAGTATGGCTTCCTAAAGTTACTTCGAAAAATACAAAGCTCGAAAGCCGTTCTGTTATGACGTGACGGTTTAGTGATATGAGCCTATACCATCGATGTCCGTAGAAACTTCTTTTATAT